GAAGGGTTGGCTATTCCTCTGAAGGCTAATCTCAGATGCCCGCTCCTCTGAGCGACTCCTTTTCCCTACATCTCCATGCTCGTTTTCCCCAAACGGTCGCGCTTGCTGGCTACCCTCAACGCAGCCCCGCTAGGTCCCCCACGTTTGCATGCTAAGTGTTTTTATGAGTGCTTGTCTCGCTCTGATACCATATGTCACGGACTTAGTTGGTATTGCCTAAGTCGTGCGGTACCCTTGCGTGTCCGTCCGCAAAGGTCAGCCTCCCCGAAACCTCCCATGGTCCCTTAGGACCTACAAAAGAGAAAACGGGTTAGAGAAAGCGCCTCACTCGGAATCCACAAGCAAACATTTCAGAAAACACTTCATAGCCAATATAAATTACAAACAGATTTTACAAGCTCTGAACGATTGCACAACAAAGGGTCAAAATGGTCCACTACAGATCGAATATCTCTCACAAGTCTCCACATGACACAACCTTTATTTACAAGCCTAAAACGACCACCAAACCCAACTAAAATGGGGTTGTTGAGCCTTCGATTGTCCCTCTATATGCTGTGCAAAGCATGAACATACCAAAAGACACGGACATACATAAGCATTACATCAAACATCATGTTTAGAAGTTTATCCGTGACAGTATGTAAAGAAATGAGTTATAAGTATCTTATCTCTAAGTTCCCATCGGACTCAAAATTTGTTGCATTTTTTCCTTGTTCTATTATTAAACCTTCGACAACTTGAACGCTTAGACACCTTGCTTGCTTCAAAGTCAATCAAAGTGTCTTTCTTACCTATAAAGAAAAGAGTGCAAACGTTGGATTAGGTGTGAAAAATCTAATATATGAGCATAATAAATTAGATATAAAACTAAAATATGTACATGTTTCTACCACCAAGATGAATGACATAAGTCCACAATGGTGGATTAGGGTGCTCGATTTGATGTAACTATAGATCGAAGTGGTGTGTCTATAGGACTCATGCAGGGGACTGCTCTCTGATACTAATAAACAGTGTATCTTTGATGTAATAATGTGGTAGTATTCATCAAGGTTCGCAATACCGTACCGTACCGACGTTCGCTCGATACGGTACGAAACGGTATACTGAGCTGTATACCGCTCTGTATATATATATATATATATATATATATATATATATATATATATATATATATATATATATTATATTACATATATATATATAACTCGACGACGTCGCCTCTCTCTTCTCCCAGGTGGGGCGACGTCGCTTCGGCGACGTCACCTCGTTTATATATATATATATATAATTAATATATATATAAAAGATTATATATATATATATTTTATTTAAAAGGCGACGTCGCCTCATTTATTTAAATATATAAATATAAATATAAATATAAATATAAATATATATATATATATATTATTTTATTATTATTTTTTCGAAGATTGGACATCGGGCCGGTGGATTGGTCAACATATCAACACAAGGCTTCGGGCCGTAGATTCGAGCATCGAGCCAAGAAGAGCGGACATTGCGTCAAGGATATCGGAGTTGCGGAGTCAACTGGTCGATTGAGCAATAAGCTGCAAGAGAGGATGATGCGCTGAAGAATCGGACAAAGCGTCGAGGGACCAATGACATGCCGAACAACTTGATTAATGCTTAGTATTAATTGTCTAGATCGAAGTGTGTTTTTACATGTACAAGATTAACTACGATAACAAGACATGAAGCAAAATGAAGTCCCAGAGTCAAGGACGCGACTTCATTGGGAGTTCGAGAATTCGTCGGAAGTTCTAGAGGAACCAACCGAGAAGTCTCGGAGCTTGCCAGAGAAGCTCATCGGAACTCGCCAAGAAGATCGTCGTGAAGTCCAGGAGCTTGCCGGGAGTCCGCCGGAACATTACCGAGAGATCGTCGGAAGGTCACCGGAAGCTCGCCGGAAGAATAGACATAGGGACTTGTTTTGCTTAGCAAATGTCTTAGGATTTCGTAGTTAGCACATAATTGGGCTTGGATTTGGGTCAACCCAATTAGGGGCCAACTAGGCCCATGTAAGAACTGTGTTAGGCCCAATAAGAGGACCAAACAGTGCTCCAAGAAGTCTCACCGTCGTGGTACAGTCTTCGAGACTATGTCAAGCGGTGGTACCGCCCAGCACTGCACCCCAGGCGGTGGTACTGCCAGACCTGGGCGGTGGTATCGCCCAGGGCAGTGTTAGCCAGACTGACACTGGGCGGTGGTACCGCCCATGCCTGGGGAACCCAGGATGGGAAAGTTTTAGGCTCCAAGTTTAAATCAACTTGAAGCCTATAAATACCTCTCTCATTCTTGGTTAAAACACACAAGTATTGAGAGAAAAAAAGTATAGAAACGCTGCTGCAGTCTTGTGTGAGCTCCTCTCAAAGATCTAAAGTGTTAGAATAGTTTGAGAGAGGAGTGAATGGGGGTGTAAGGGTTATCTCCTAAACCCGGTAAAAGGAGAATTGAGTTATAAAAGGTGATTAGCCTTCGCCTATTGAAGGAAGGCCCCTAGTGGACGCTGGTGACCTTGTCGGAGGAGGAAGCCGAAAGTGGATGTAGGTCACGTTGACCGAACCACTCTAAAATCTGGTTTGCATTTACATTTGTGCAATTTATCTTTATTGCAAATCTCTTTAAGTGCTTACTGCCTTCGTTACTTTTACGAACTCGCTTTCAAGTTAAGTTTCCGAAAACGGTTTTACGTCGGAAATAGTTTTATCGTACGAAAGTTTTTAAACCGTCGTTATCTTACAGCTGCACTAATTCACCCCCCCCTCTTAGTGCCGACCCCTGATCCTAACAGTATCAAATAATGATTAGTAAATTAAAATAAAAATATTACTTTAATTTTTATAGTTTTTAGCTTTTTATCAAGGATTGCCTTTTCTGGTACCGAACTCGTTTTGGCAATTTGTCGAACTGGTATGTACTGCTTTGTACCAATGTACCGACACATGATATGCCAGTGCGTACCAGTGTTTCAACGAGGAAGGAAAAGAGGATGAAGAGGAAGAGGTGGTGTAGGAACAAAGGAGGAAGGAGGTAGAAGAAGAAAGAAGAGGAGGAGAAGAAGCAGCGATAGCGTACTTGGGAAGCAGCGACTATATCGAAGCGGAAGCGACAACATCGCAGTGGTAGCGGCGAAGAGGCAGCGATGAGGGCAAAGACATTTTACATGAAAAGAGGGCTTGCATTCGCATGACCTAATTTGCTTTTTTTTTTTTTTTTTTTGATGTTGAGTTGGACAAGGGCCCAGTTTTTTATTTTTTTATTATTTTAACCGGACCGCTCGAAACGAGGCTGGTCCGCATATCGGTCCACACCTGGGCTGGTACACACTGCCCGTACTATACTGTTTCACGTGGTACAGCAAATTGTGATTTTTATTATCATTTATATATGCTTCAAGTACTAGATTGTAGTAAAGAATCTCTTTCACGATGAACAAAATAGAAATGTATTTGAAGTCATTATATTTACCAGGATATGTAGCTACAGATTCTGTCACTATAGATAAATATCAATCTTTTTTCACATATAATATGGTATATTTAAATTATTTTCATCATCATATGCATGCTGTATTAGATCTTCTTTCTTCTTTTTTTCCACTTTGTGATATCTTTGTACCCATAATCATTGTCATATTACTATCCTGTACTTGTATCAATGCTTCATAGTGTTTTTCTTTAAGAGGGGTGTCAGGTGGTGTGTGACATTGTACCTCTTTGTCATTGCTGCGGAGAACCTTCCAAAAATTTTTGAAAAGCATTGCACTGCAGAGAACTTCAGATATCATCCTGAATGAAAGATGCCCCAAATTATACATTCTGCAACTGTGAAATAAATTATGCACAAGTCCTGCAGCAAGCTCTTGGTGTCTTCTTCAATTTTCTAGTTTGTCAGCTAATAAGGATAAAAGTGAAGTTTTCCTCAGTGATAGACAAAAAATTAGAAGTCTCTCACAGTTTAGCTTAATGGAAAATTGGAAATCACATATCATGGACTGCCTCTTCTCTCAATATACTTCTGTACTGAAAATTGTAGAATTCTTATTAATAAGATTGCTGGAGGATAGAAAGTTGGACAACAAGGTTTATTCTGCACACAGAATGCTTTCAGCTTATTAATTTGCGGTCTTTTTTCTATTCTACCCCACTGGACTAGTTGATTCTTTTTATGGAATGGGTTTGATACAAAGAAAAAGAATGGCCTTTGTTGCATGGAAGCAGGTATGCAGACTTAAGAATGAGGGAGCTCTAGGATGTAAGATCTTAAATAGTTGGAACAAGGTGGCAAACTTTGTATATATGTTCCATCTTCACCCAATGTTCATCCATACGAGTACAATTGACTCAAATTATGAGTCTAGAAAACAGATTTATCTTGAATGCCAAGCTTCTTATTGACTGCAACTAGTTCAGGAAAATAAATTACAAAATGAGATGAAACTTGAGAACTGTTTGGTTATTATATATTAGGTGATGGAAGACAGCCATTTATGGTTAATAGTTGGATGTCTGAAGGGTCAATTTTATATACAAACTTGATCATGAATGAAGCTGCAGCGCAACCTCAAGTAAAATTTGCAGCTTTAATCTTAGATGAGCGGTCTTAGATGCCATGACTTTGTTCATTACTCACTGGTTGGCAAACTTGGCACATATGGTTCTGGGGGTGGTTGGGGGGATAGGGTATATTAGCTTTCCATGGAATTGTGGTTATGTTTTCAGTAATTTGCACTGAGTTTCATTTAAATCCGCTATTCATTTCTCTCCGTTAAACATAATTTTCTATTACCAAGTAAAACCTACCATCCATCAATTCCATGATCTTAGCATTCACTATAATTCATCTTGCATTATGTATTTTAGTAATGCACCTAAGTTAGATTAAACACTACCTAATCATGGATAAATTTAGGGTCAAAAAAATTCTTTTTTATAATTTTCTACACTTAGTGATGTTCACTCTTTGAGCAGAAACATTCCTTCTAGTGCTGCATTGCCAATCATTCGCCCATCACTTGGAGGGCAGCAATTGATTTCTGACAAGGCTAAATTGGCTATGCAAGGGTACTTGGATCACTTCTTTAGCAACTTGGATATTGTGAACTCTCAAGAGGTATTGACTCTATTGGTTGTATCAGTCACTTTTAAGAATAAATTCTGAGTCATGTTTTGAAATTGAACTGTTGCTTGTCCAAGCTTTTCTTGAAGGTGAAGATAATCTTAAAAATGATCAATCATGATGTTTATTTAGTAGACTTCTATAGCTAGCTCTGTTTCATCTTTCTTATTTATACTATTTGACTGATCGAGACAAGTTTTTTATCTGAGGTGTTCTAATAATTGATAATATGATAACTTGCACCATGATTTGGATCATACTATCATGGTAAGAACTACGAAGAATGTAAAATATGAGAACCTTCTACCTTGTTTAATAGTGCCAAACGTCCTTCATAGACATCTATACTAATTTCACTTTGTCATAAAATAACCTCAGAACAAAGCTTATTTTGTCTAGTTGGTATAAAACTGTTTACATTATCAATACGGAATTTTTTGGCATAATATGCAGGTTTGCAAATTTTTGGAGGTCTCGAGGTACTCGTTTTTGCAAGAATATGGACCAAAGCTAAAAGAAGGTTATGTTAAAGCAAGGCATTTGCCAAAAGTTCAAGAATTAGATGATGGTAAAAGCTGTTGTGCATGCCACTGGTTTAGCTGTTGCAATGGTAGCTGGAAAAAGGTATTTGTTAATAGGTTCGCTGTACCATGGCATACCGCTCGATACGAGCGGTATGTACCAGTCCGACAAGGGACCAGTATGGGCAATACATATCGTTCTATCGGTATGCCCCACCGTACCATGTGTCGGTATATCGGTATATACCATATCGATGATCGATTGGTATACTGGTACGGACTAGTAAGGCGAACCATGTTTGTTATTCTATTATCTATTCCAAATAATAGTCTATCGGATTTATAGTATTTCAATAGCAATTTCTTTGATTGTTACATCATGTTTTTTCAATGTTATCTTCTAGATGACTACTTTAAAAAAAAGCTAATTTTGTAATTAGCATATAATATATTTACATGGGATACAATTATGACGTTCATCTTATCATGGTATATCTTGATTCCAACACAAGAACAGACACTATGCATCTCTCACAAGCTAGATATTGTTTCAAACTAGTAGTCTAACTGTGCCTATTTGTATAGTAATGGATCAATATAGATGTTAGACAGAATTAAGCCTAAGTTTCTCAAGCCAGCTGACTTGTGCTATTCTCACGACAATGCATTTGATGGTTACATTGTTTTGGAAGAGCCCTTTAAGCTAGTCTTAGCTTAGCATATGTTATAAGATCAGACTGTTGTATTCTATAGTCTCACATCTCTACCTTTACACTTTTGAGTTTTGACAATGCTCGGCACTTCCATTTCTTCCAAACCTTTCAGAGATTTGAAAGAATTATAAACAGACTGTGCACAGCCTGAAGCTACAACCAATGAGCACATATAAGCAACTTACAATTAAATATTCAAGAACCTGAGTTTCTTTATATTTTGGGCATAATGCCTGAAAATCTCAAGTTTGCCTTAGAAATCTTGTGCCACTAGGGTTCTCAGAACTGATAAGGGTTGTTGCCCGGTGAGGTAGCAGGTTCAATGCTTGAATAATGCTAGTTCAATGCTTGAACTAGATTGGTATCATTTGATGCTATTTCAAAGTTAGACTGCATTTCATGATCTTCAAATTTAAGGCTTTAAAAATTACGCCTCATGTCATTGATTTGAGTTCTTTTCATGGGAGAGGAGTTGGAGAAGAGCAATGGTCAAAGCAGTGGACAAGTTGGTGGAGATCAAGATTTACAATACTTCTTGTTCTAGTACCAATTAGTATGAGATAGTATTTATGGTTCTGACAGCCAACCGAGATGCAAACTAGGCAATTTTGTCCAGATTAGTCAGGTATGGACTGTATAGTCTGATATTCCTCTTGGTGATCAATGTTCAGCCACCTTCGGTAGAGAGCTCTATTTTTTCTCTTTCTTTGTTGACTTCTTTCCACTGAAGGAATCAAAATAAGAACATGGGGAGTGTGACGCTTTTCATTCTTTATGTTATATAGAAGAAGCTTAGCTTAGCACCACTCATTTTGTAGGGCTAACCAGTTGGTAAGAGACCTGTAGTGAACGGTAAGACTATTGCTCATTATCTCTATTTCTTTCTTTTTAAAATAATGATAAACTGCACAGCTATTTCTTCCTATATGTCTCTCTCTTTCTTTCTCTTTCTCTTTTTTTCTCTCCTACTCCTCCATACATAGCTACTACCTCCTTCCTTCTGTATCACCACCATGGCCTACACTTCCTACCAAGTACGGGTGTTCAAACCGAACCATTAAGGGTCAAACCGAACTGAACCATTTTTTCGGTTCGTTTGGTTAAAATACAATAGTCCAAACTGAAACTGATTCGGATCTACCTAACTGAACTGATTCAAAACTGGTTATTCCGGTTTGTTTAATTGGTTTATAATTTTAAATAATTTTTTAAAAAATATTTCAAATGAATCAGTTCAATTCAATTGAACCGAACCAGAATCTTGGTCCAATTGGATGACATGACAATATTTGTGAAATTGAGTCCTTGTTATTTATAATATTAGGCATATGGAACGGTTTGATTGATCAATTTGACTGGTTAAGGATTTAGGACAATAAACTCAATCAGATTGATGTTTCTTAAGTTAAAATCAGTTCGGTTCGATTCAAACTGATTAACCGAACCAAAGAAGGTTACCCCAAACTAGAACCGTTTATACCCTTCAAAATGGAACCATTGGTGAACCGGTTTGGTTCAGGTTTGGTTCCAGTTCGGTTTGGTTTTCCGCTTTGATTTGAACACCCCTACTACCACCTCCCCAGCCTCCTCCACCTTTATCTCTTGTTCCTCCTTTGTCCTTCACCTCGTCCCCCATCTCCTCCTCCTCCTCCTACTCCATCTTCTCCTCTTCATCCATCTCCTCCTCTAGCGTGACCCATTTATACCTGTTCAGATCAGTATCAGTACTAAATAGAGATTTGAAATCATAGTGGAGATAACTCAAATTTCCATAGACATAGTGACATTGACATTCCTCATGTTGGCTTGGTGGTCTGTCTAGCTGTTCTGGTCCACTAGTAAAAATGGGAGTGCTGGTGAAATTTAGATTCTTGCCACCACATCTTAAGATTTATGGTAATCATCTTTTGGTTAAAGTTGCCTTGGCTACTATTTTTTGACCAATTATGGTAATCCATTTTTGCTTAAAGCTGCCTTCACTACCACTATTAATCCCAAAGAATTGATGTCATGATGGCAGCTGCTAATATAAATTCTTATTATCCTTCCAAGGTGCCTTCCTGCATTTTCAGTTGTGATCTTTAATTGGCCTCTTATTAATGAGAAGGGGCATGGTCAATAAATATGACTTAATAAACTATATTACTCTAAAATTAACATTAAGTTCTAAAAAGATGGAAGGTTTTATGTTGTGCAGGCTGTATCAATGTGGGTTTAAAGTGTACAGAGTTATGAATTATTTCTTATTATTTCATTTAAAGATACCAGGTGATAAAGGTTGGTTATTGTTTGATATACTGGTTTGTTCTATTCTGATAGATTACTGAAATTGGTATCAGACCAATATTCAAAACCTAGATGCTGATGTGCTTTAATGCTGCCTTGGCAATTCAAGGAATATATACTTTGATACACACCATGTTTATTAGTACACTAATGCTCATTTAGACTTGTTGTATATTGCAAGAGGCTTCAATGCCTATGATAATAATATTATCTTAGGAAGAAAATGTTTAAAAAAAATAAAATCACCTGGCTGGTACTTAATGTGTCATCTTTAAGTGGATTTGACCACTTTATAATAAGTTAATAACTATTGTATTTTTCTGACTAAAATAGTCATACTGCACCAGGTATCTGATGGATTGTGGCACATAACATTCTGAAATAACAAGATTCTATTGTGTCATTGCTTGGACTATTTTGATTGTGCTAGATCAGACATTATGCTAGCCATTTTTCTTTGGTATTGATGGAAGGAAAATCGAAAAAAATATCTGAGAATAAAAACCAAGAAAAAAAGAAAAAAAGCATAGAAAATTTATCTCCTAGAACAAAGGACATGAAACACTGCTTGTGATGGGTCTTTAGGTAAAACCAATGGACTAGTTTACAGAGGCTGGACCAAAACTGCTCAAGATAAGGGTTCTAAACCAAGACCTCCAAAATTCTCCCAGAAATCAGTCTAATTGGTGAAACAATGCAGGAATCCTGAGACCGGTATTGATCTTGAATCTGGACAATTGGTCGAAGACCAATTAATCTTCTATTGCACTGGCATGAGTTGCCCATAATGTGCTGTACAGATCACAGTAAATGATTATCCTTATACAGAAGTAAAAGATCCAAGGCAGTAATCATAGGATTGTCTGCCTTCCTGTATTTCGCGGAGTCCTGTGTTCACTAGTAGTTAAATGATGAATTTCAGCTTCCTGTGGCCTTTCAAAGATGTCATTTTTGACCAATTTCATCTGAAAGCTGAAATTTCCTTTACTAAAGGTGGCTCTAAATCTTACATTTAGTGATTTTTTGTTATGATTGGTTATGTTTTCCTACATGCATTTTTAAAGAGCTTAATGAAAATATAAACAACTTATTTTGCATCATTTTCTGTGGTAAAGATTTATTTTTGGTATATTTTATCATGATATCATCCCTTCTTTTATTTTCTTCCATTCTCTCATATTCTATCACATTATTACTTCCAATCTCATACTGACATGACAAATTTGCGGCTATTCTTAATTAGTCTGATATTGACTGAGACTGGAGCCAACCTATTTTTGTAGCATCCAAACAGCTAGACTGCTTCTATAACTATTGATATGGTTGTCCAACTTGACATTAATTTCTGATGATAAATTAAACATCTTTTGTAGGTTTGGGCTGTACTAAAACCAGGTTTCTTAGCTTTACTGGAGAATCCTTTTGATACAAAAATTCTAGATATCATTGTTTTTGATGTATTACCACATTCAAATGGAAATGATGACGGTCGAATTCTTCTAGCAAAAGAGACAAAGGAGCGTAATCCTTTGTGTTTTGGGTTTCAAGTAAGTTTTTTCATTTATTTCTCAAAATTATTTTGATTTTTCTTCCATTTGTTAAAATAGATTTAACTTCCATGATTATTTTCTTGTCTAAAGTGCTGAAAGATGGTGCAACTCAGAGCTTTAAGAATTTATATGATGCCAGTTAGCTGAATGTCAGACTGAAACTGCATGTAGAAATACAATTTGGCAAAGATGTTATAACATGAATGCTTGTCACAATTCATTTCTATGAGATCATCTTCCTTTTGTTATTTCACTTTTGAGAGCTTCTACTTTTTTCCTTAATATATGTATTTCTGTTCATTTTTCATGTAGCCTTTTAATGTTCCCAGATAAATGATTTCTCTTGGTAGCTTACAATTACTTACTAATCAATAAATTAAAGTGAAGTTAAGCCTTTTAGTCACTACCAAAAAATTTAGAAGCTTGAAAGGAATGAGATGGAATGCACACAAGGGCAAAGGAAGCATGGTTTAGAATCTTGCTCAGGTGCTGATGTCTGACGGCATTCAGCTGATGTATCAACAATTCAAATGGTCGATGTTGTCCTGACCAGGAAAAGAGAGAGAAGAGGGAGGAGGAGGATCAGTGGAGGAGGAGATGGAGGACTAGCAGAGGGGGTGGAAAGAAGGAGAAGATGAGGCAAAGAGGAGGATAAAATGGAGGAAATGACGGTGTACTGGGTGAAGACAGTGCTAACATAGTAGGTATGAGGAGGCAGTGACGGTGCAATAGGAAAGAGGATAGGTGGCAGCCAAGGAAAAGAGGGAGAGAGAGTGCATGAGCATGAGATTGCATGAGAAAGAGAAAGCGAAAGAGCACAAGGATGAGGAAATCGATAACAAACAAAAGAAATATAGCTATCAATACAGCAATTAAAAAAATATATAGAGGTACCAAACAATAAGCTTACCACCACTACCAACTGTACCAGGATATTCACTGTCCAGTATGTTCGGTACAGTGTGCTTATCAGGTGGCACAGCCCATATCAGATTGAACTGGTAAAAATCACATGATTGATTTCTTGGTCGACTGCTAAGCTCATTCCTTAACATTGTTGTCCATGACTCCATTCAATCTTTATTTTTCCTATCTCAGTGTCTCAGCAGTGATTTACTTCAGAAAGAAAATGATGATGTTAATTAAATATAATAAAGTTAACAAGTCAACAAGGTGATGGACCCAATCTTTATATAATATAGGACACAACTGTGATGTTTTCTCAATAACTCATTCGCTGTGTACTTGCAAGTAGTAGTTTAATTAGAATATCAAATTACCACAAGCCAGGAAACATTCAATTTTTGTTTTTTTGGAAACTTATTGCTGCTTATTTTCAGTCATTGCTACTTTATCCTAGCCCTTGTTGTGGGCACCTATCGGGTCATGTTAAGATTCAAGTCTGTGTTTAATTGAATTACATCACAAAGGTATTTGGTGGGAGCCGTACAACAAAATTGAGAATGAGAAATAATGCAAAGATCAAGGAATGGGTTGCTGCAATAAATGATGCTGGGTTGCGGCCTCCAGAAGGTTGGTGTTATCCTCACCGCTTTGGCTCTTTTGCACCACCCAGAGGCTTAACTGAAGATGAGACTTATGTTCAGTGGTTTGTTGATGGCCAAGCTGCATTTGAAGCAATTGCTTCTTCAATCGAACAAGCAAAATCAGAGGTTTGTTTGGTTTACATGATATGGCTTCTGTGAAAGTTAGATAATTTCTTGAAGTCAAGTACAAAATCTTTAAATAATTGGAAGCCTGATGCAGATATACATAACTGACTGGTGGTTGTGCCCAGAATTGCATCTGCGACGTCCTTTTAGTTTGCATGGCTCTTCGCGGCTTGATGCTATGCTAGAGGCAAAAGCAAAGCAAGGTGTTCAGGTACAATCTACCCAAAGCCACATCGTTCAACACTTCAACATTTTTGTATCTACCATGTCCCTTAAGCCACAACTTGCATTCGTTCATTGTTTTTGCCTTTTTGGATTAGAATGATTTCTTGGCCACTTCTCTGAAATTTCTAAAATGATTCATTTGGCTTTTCTCCAAATTATTCGGTAGTAAACCAGTAACCTTATTATTTGAGAAAGTTAATCTCATCTTTTTTCACATGTGTTGCATGATTCAATGACTGCTGCATGCAAATCATCCAATATATACACATCTAGTGAATTATTTGATAGGAACATTATAGAAATTTGCTTCTTATTTCTCTATGCTATTATCGGACTAATTACATTATGTGGACATATTTTTGGCCTTCATCAGAATTCTTTTTTCCAACTATGATGGCATTCATGGAATTTTGAAGCTTTTAATAAGTTTGGATGTTCATTTGAGAACAAGAGTGTGTTGGTTAACACAAAGTTAACATCAAAGGGCTAAGCGAAATTTGAGCATATTGATTGATCCTAAAAGTCCAAGTTTTTACTGGTGTGGTTCATTTGTACTCGTATGTTTCAAATTCTAGAACTGGGATGTGTCTATGCAATGGATGTGTAAGTTTTGGTATGGAAAATCTGGTGACACCTCTTGGCTCAGATGCCTAGTAATTGAATTAGGCAATCTCTGAACCAGGAGATGCCTACTAATTGAATTGTGGCAATCTTCTGACCTCTAGGAGATCTTAAATGCTCACAGTGTAGGTGTCAGACACATGAAAATAACTGTACAAAGATGAAGAATGGAGTTTCATAAGATAGGTGTCTGATAAGGTTAGAAAAGGATCCAAATTAATTGCATAACTAGTTATGTTTGAAATACTGCAAGCAAAGTTTATGATGGCATTCCTTGGCAGTATAAGGAACCTAGCCAGACTGGTACATACTGGTTGGTACTAAAAATAAATAAATAAAGAGAAATAAAGGAGAGGCTTGTTGGTACTTGGTCAATATTGTAATATACTCGCATACCACCATCTGATTCATCTTGTACATAGGAAATTTGAATTCCTTGATTCTAAAATTTTTCCAGTCTTGTGGGACCCTTTCATGATGATGATGATGATGATGATGTATCTCCTGGTTTTCTTTTTTGATACAGTTAGTGCATTGCGTATTTCAGATAAGTAAAATATTTGGACATTTTGCCATGAATACAGTCTCTTCTTCATCTTTGCCAACCCAGTCTGTTGTTTGTCTCTGATGTGATGGAAAGTAGCTGCAATTTATAAAATATGAGAAGCTTTAGATTGAGTTTAAACTTCTGAAGGCATGCATATTTCTTTCTGAGTTTGCACTTGTTCTTGCATCTGGATGGCAAGGCATTTTCTGCCTGGGTGTTATGGTCTTCCTATGGTGTCTTTTGGATCTCAAGTAGGTTCAGTTCCCCCTTTCTGCTTCTATTTGCCACAATTAAAGTTGGTATGAATATTGATTTCTTACGTCATAGGTGACTCCTGGATTCTGCTGAGACTCATATAGGAGCATCTTTCAATTTTTATTTAGCACTTGTTGGTTGCTATAATGATAATATCATTTTTTATTCAAATTATTTTTAATCATTTTAATTAGAAGGTTAAGTTGACTACTTGCAGATTTATATTCTTCTTTACAAAGAAGTCCCTCTTGCTTTGAAGATCAACAGTGTATATAGTAAGAGAATATTACTGAACATTCATGAAAACATAAAGGTTCTTCGTTATCCAGATCATCTCTCAACTGGCATTTATTTATGGTATGAATTTTTTTTATCATTTTATCTGCTTGATTGAGGGCATCTTATTATAATATGTTCGTAAAATATTTATGTTGAAAACTAGGTCCCATCATGAGAAAATTGTTACCATTGACAACCAAATAAGCTTCATTGGAGGACTTGATCTGTGCTTTGGCCGTTACGACAACTTTGAACACAAAGTTGGGGATATGCCTCCTCTTATTTGGCCTGGAAAGGACTATTATAATCCGAGGTAACTGTCTCATTTTAACATATAGCTGAGAACAAATTTATAATAGTTCTGTAATCTAACCTTTTGTTTGTGAATCTCTCATTTATATCATGTTTTTTTATATAGGGAATCTGAACCAAATTCTTGGGAAGATACTATGAAAGATGAATTGGACCGTGGAAAATATCCTCGCATGCCCTGGCATGATGTTCAATGTGCTTTATGGGGACCACCTTGTCATGATGTTGCAAGGCACTTTGTTCAACGCTGGAATTATGCCAAGGTTGCTTTTCTATTCAGAGGTGGCATTTCTGATTTACTATCAGAGGCTTGTTTTCTTGTGGACACTTACCATTTTTTATCTTCTTATTTTTTGTCTCCTAGAGAAGTAAAGCTCCAAATGAGAAAACAATTCCATTGTTGGTACCTCAGCATCACATGGTTATTCCACATTACATGGGAAGTAGAGAAATGAACCATCAAAACGACAAACAAAATGCAATCCCAGAGGATGTTGGAAAGCATACCTTCTCCCGTTCATGTCAAGATATTCCACTGCTTTTACCCCATGAACCTGATGGAACAGCAACAACAAATAGTGATAAGGTTCATGGATTGGATAGGATTTGTGGTCTTTCAGAGCATCCAAATAAAACTAGCCAAAGCCAACCTGTGTCTTTGATAAAAACAAAAATTGAGCATTCAGTTCAAGATATGCAGATGAAAGGTTTTATCGATGATTATAGTTATCCAAAAACTCAGAGGGAACAAGATTTTAATATGTTCGTCCAGCCACCTATTCAGAATTCAGACTGGTGGGTAACACATGAGCGAGGCAGTCAAGTTGTATCTACAGATGAATCTAGACAAGTTGGTCCACGCACGCCATGCCGTTGTCAGGTTGGTATAAGTCTATTGTTTGTAAAAAGATTATTATGATTTTTTTATTCAAATATTCATTATTTTATTACTTTGTTGTTAATAATTTTAGAAACATGTCATTAGTAATAATGTTTTGTTAAACTACATCATGCTGAGTTGGGTTTGGATTTTCTTATCTTTTTTTTTTTCACTTAGATAACTCTGGATCAGAATAAAGCTTGATTTCATTATACATTAATAGCAATTGCTTGTTTAACAAAATACTGAACAGTTATCTAAATTCTAAAGCACACATTAGAATTATAAATTATTCTACTAATCCATTAAACAGAGAATTTTTGAACTTAACAAACCAAGCAACTCTTACCTTGACTCCATCTATACCCACTTTGATCAGTTTTGAGTATAAGAGACACTAGAAATCATAAGAACATACAATTGGAATTAAATTTACTTATGGTACTTGTTTTTGAGTATTGAAACTTGAAAGTATGAAAATTTGAGATGATAGATCTTTTACAAGTTTCAGAAGAAACAGGTTGTAATTTGATGCCTGATTTGTCTATTTGGTTTTTAAATTGATTGCTAACAGATTTGATCAGTCTCAAGTTTGATTAGACTTTTGGAAACAGATGAACACTTATGGTACTTGTTATTTCATGATGAAAGGATGCAACTTTAAGATTATAGACTTACAACAGATTTCAGAAACAAAAAGAGGTCAATACTTGATAAACAAATTGTTGTTGTGGCTACTCAGTTGATCAACTTAAACCATCAAATTTTATGATTACATCTTGATAATTACCCAGGGTTCAGGTTAATCGACTCCATGAGCATCAATAGAAGTTTAGTTGGAAGTGGAAAGTTCTTTATTCTGCCATTTTTAAATCTCATATTGATGGATTTAAGGATAACTTATCTTGAGAATCTAATGTTTGTTATATATCTGGACATTATAGACTGATATTTTACAAGTATCTCACATTTAATCTGATATTAGATTCTGATATTTTACAAGAATTTTTGAACTTAACAAACCAAGAAACTCTTACCTTGACTCCATCTATACTGAGATGAATGCCTACTTTGATCAGCTTTGAGTATAAGAGATACTAGAAATCATAAGAACATAAAATTGGAATTAAATTTACTTTTTTTTTAGTATTGAAACTTGAAAGTGTGAAATTTTGAGATGATAGATCTTTTACAAGTTTCAGAAGAAACAGGTTGTAATTTGATGCCTGATTTGTCTATTTGGTTTTTAAATTGATTGCTAACAGATTTGATCAGTCTCAAGTTTGAGGAGACTTTTGGAAACAAATGAATACTTATGGTGGTTGTTTGTGCATGATGAAAGGATGCAACTTTAAGAATATAGACTTACAACAGGTTTCAGAAAAAAAGAGAGGTCAATACTTGATAAACAATTTGTTGTTGTGGCTACTCAGTTGATCAATGTAAACCTCAAATTTTATGATTACATCTTGATAATTACATAGGTTTCAGGTTAATCGATTGAGACTCCATGAGCATCAATAGAAGTTTAGTTGGAAGTGGAAAGTTCTTTATTTTGCCATTTTTAAATCTCATATTGATGGATGTAGGGATAACTAATCTTGAGAATCTAATGTTTGTTATATATCTGAACATTATAGATTCTGATATTTTATAAATCTCTCACATTCAATCTGATATTGTGAAATTTTTGGATTGGACAATGACTTTTATAATACCCATGTTTGATGAGTAGCTGAACACGAATATGTTTGACTTGGATTAGTTAAGATTGATGCGGAAAATTATTAACACTGGTTGTATCTGACCCCTGGCAGCAGTCATGCAAATGCAGATTTTTTCCAATCAAGATTTTAGTTTCTCATCATTCTTTTCCTTGTAACATGCCGGTCCACTATCTGCTAGTTCACATGGGTCAGATTAGGTAGTTGTATTTTGGCATGGGCGCTTTGTTAATCCGTCATAATGTCAGCATATTCCATAGTATATCGTGTCAACACATTTATACATAGCCATAATGACACTCATGTTTATGCTAAATTCTGTTGATTTCTCTGTTCCTTGAGATATATGGTACACATCCCATGATTTTTGTAGCTAAAAATTTCTTTGGATAATAGAAAGGGTAGTTGTTTAGTTTATATGAATTCAAGGTATACCTGTTTTCAAAGCTGTCTAGAGGATTTCTTTGGGCACCAGGTTATTAGAAGTGTCAGTCAATGGTCAGCTGGAACAAGCCAAACTGAAGAGAGCATTCACAAAGCTTATGTTCATCTTATTGAGAAAGCAGAGTACTTCCTATACATTGAGGTAAACGATTTTTTCGTAGAGTTAATGCAAGTTTTTTTCTGCCCCTTAAATGATTGTGTTTTAGTGATAATTTTTTTTCAAGGTTTTTTATACCAGTTGGATTGATATGTACTGACTGGTATATATCAGACTGATCAAATATTGATATCAACATCTATCTTGATACCCATACATGTATAGCTCATTTTTTACTTTCTTTATTATTTTATTCAATGATACTGGATGGTAGAATTTGGTATACTGCCTATATATCGGTACCACAGTGGTCCAATATGTTACAGATACCTGGTATTATGCTGGCATTTAGAACCTTGGTCTTTTATTGTTACACTCAAAATTTATCTCATAATGAATATATGATGAAGCCTCCTAACTAGAAAGTTTTGTGCTAGCTATCATGCTGGCTTCAGCGATAGCATCTTGATGATAATATAGAAACCTAACAAACATTGTGTTGTGAGCTACACTGGAAATATAACAAATATCTGCATTGTGAGGATGTGCTGGTTAATGAAATGGTCATATGCAACTGTGTATGGGCTTGTGGCAGATGACATTATGAAGCTTCTCATAAGCATTGATTGGAGTGAGACTAGTCCAATCATTAGCTTTTTGATTGGTCATATGAGTTAATTTGGGATAAGAAATGTTTAATGAGTTATGATTAACCAAGAGTAGTGAGGAAGTAAATGTTCTGAGTAATCTATAAAATCTGTTGAAGGTTCTGTTATCTGGACTTACGATGAGAACTTCTCCTAATGATCATTGTTCATGCAAAGAACTGGGAGCTATATGAAGAGATTGAAAAAAATGGAATTACCTTGCTCACTGTTAATGAATTTAACAAGCTCTGACATGCAACACATGATAAAAGTGCATCAAGTTCAAACAGCTTAACCTTTAGTTTCTCTGGGTTGCCTGCAGCCTCATGATTTAGAATGATAAAAAGCAATAGTAGATAATAGGAAGAGAATTAAAGATTTTAGTTGCAACATAAAGAATGTAACTACATCATACAGGACATATTTGCAATTTATTTCTGATTATAAACATAAATGAAAGAGGAAAGTGCAGGAGGTAAACAAACAATAAAATCATTGATGAAGGTCAGCAGGAGCCTCAAAAGGTTCAAATTTTGAAAGAGACATAGGCAAGCAAAGGTTCAAATTTTGAGAGACATAGGAAAGTCAGCAAAGCTGATGAAGGAATTACAGTATAGTTTATGGGAGAAGACATTGTGTCTCTAGAAACATTATCATGCTAGCAAAATGAGCAGTAGGACTGACCTTCTTTACATGACGGAAGGAAGAAATTTGATGCACTTCAAAACTTTCAAATGATAAGTTGAAGATTGGCTGATAAATATATTGTTGAAGTTTGAGCTGTAAAATAATCAAAGACATGTACTAATGTGATATATGCAATTGCTAAAGGTGCATCTAACGTGTTTGTATGCCATAGGCATATCAAGGCTCAAATACCAAAGGCCCATGGTTTTACTAAGGAACAAACTATGGTTTGTCGTACCATGACATACCGCTCGATATGAGCAGTATGTACCAATCCAACAGGGGACTAGTATGGGTGGTACATTGGTCCACCCCCATATACTATATGTCGGTATCTCGGTACAACTCGGTATGTACTGTACTAATAGTTGATCGGTACATCGGTACGGACCGGTAAGACGAACCTTGGAATAAACTATTTACCATGAATCTTTTTTAAATGCTTATGAACTAAAAAGCAATGTTTAGAAGATTGGAATCTAAGTCTAGAATCCACAAAATTTATCACTAAGATTGACCCAAATTAGTCAAATTAATGGAAGTGGATTGTTGGTTATGAATTGCCCACAAGTGGTCAAATTGTGGCTCAAAATTATTGGAATTGGTTGAATTTTGCTATGTTGATTAAGATTGGTCAGAATTTATGTGATTCCATTTAGATTATAATTACTAAAGACCAATCAAATTAGTCAAGGATCACTGCTACTCCCTAGCTTCTCATTATCAAGATATGAATTAGAATATGATCTTTAAAAAAAAAACTTTGGTGTTGTCTTATGATAAATGTGTTCTATTTCATCTCAATGATCTCTTATGACTTTTTCACTTGCATAATTGATTGTTTCTATTAAATAGGGCAATAAATACTGACATCAAATGGTCTCCAATAAGAACTATTGGAGTAAACATTTTTTTTTGTTATTGAGCATAGATATTTGACTTTTATGTTCTACTTACCTTTAAATTTAGAGAAAGCATACCTGTGAAGCCATATCAATCTAGTTTGGACAAGATTGCTAGAATATTTATTCATAAATGCAAACAAACCATCAACCAGAAACTAATTTATTATTGATATGGACAGAGGATTCTGTTGCAGCTCTAGTTTTCAAAGTATAACAACTTTGCCTCTTGCTTTTGAATTGTTTTGACATGTCCTTTCCTGGTTACAGTTTTGTACCTATTGATGTAGATTGTTTTGTTCCCCATCCATAGGTTATTTCCATTGCCCATGTGCTACCAAGATATCTTCTATGTGTTCAGGTCCTTCAATGATGATATTAACATAGAACTCTTCTAGAATAATTTAGTCACTTTTAAAATTAAGCAATCCACCCCATAGTAACTCTGCTTAGTTTTCTATTCTTCTTTATGGACTGTTTAGGATTTTTTTATATAAACAGTTACGAGGGTTCCTTTTGCTATGTGATTTATACTTTTGTGACTTTGTGGTTAGAAAGAGAATAGTTTTTTTGCTGACATGTCTTAGCTTCCAACTCAAGCTTATGCTTCCAACTCAAGCTTATTTAAGTTCTTAACTGCATCTTGTGTTAAATATCATTTGTTTAATGTTTCAAGATATAATTACATTATCAAATATAACAAAGTTTCATATATGTCCAAATTATTTCTGAATATCTATCTGCCTTTTCCAGAACCAATTCTTCATATCAGGTCTTTCAGGAGATGATACAATAAGAAACCGTGTACTAGAAGCATTATACCAGCGAATCATTCGAGCAGAAAAAGAGAAGAAGTGTTTCAGGGTTATTATCGTTTTACCCTTATTACCTGGTTTTCAGGTAATACTAAAAATGCACCTTATTTATTTTTTTGTTAGTGTTTTTTCTGAACATATTTAGCAACAGGGTGGCATTGATGATGGTGGTTCTGCATCTGTGAGGGCAATAATGCATTGGCAGTATCAAACCATTTGTAGAGGGTCGAACTCGATATTGCAAAAACTTCATGATACAATAGGTCCTAGAGCACATGACTTTATTTCATTTTATGGCCTTCGAACATATGGGAGACTTTTTGATGGAGGTCCTCTGGTAACCAATCAGGTGAAGCCAATTAAATTATTTGTAATTTTCTTACTTTATTTTCCTATGTCAATATGATTATAACTTAGAACAACTTTTCATCTTGGACCTTAGGAGGCATATTTTGTCCCTCTATAAATTTTCTCTAGCATATAATTTGAAGTTAAACTTCTTACTGATCTAGTCCTAAAGTGTACATAATATATTAAAAATAGTCTACAAATAGTTAAGAAAATATGATTCAATTAGATGTGCAATCTGTTTTTACTCATGAGCCCCAGTGTTTTTAATAGGCGCTTGGGTGCTCGCCTAGGTGCTCGTGCGAGGTGAGGTGAGGCCCGAGCACCTCACACAAGGTCCAGGCGACGCGCTTCACTGAAGCGCCACTTGGACGCTTGCTTGAGCCCAGGCACTGGGCGCCTCGGGTGAGCGCCCGATTGAATTCCACGAGTTGAACCAGATTGTGGACTCCTGTTTAATTTAACGGTAACTTGGTTGGTTCAATCTAACAAACTAAGCCCAACAATAAACCCCAAAATGCCCCCGACCTAGTAAATCCCAGGCTCTCTCATCACCCAACCCACCTCTAGTCTATCGTTGCTCCCTCTGTGTGCAACTTCCTCCACCGCTGACGGTTTGAATCTTCCTCCGTCGTTGCTACTTTCGTGCATAGCTCCCTCTGCCGTCATTGTTTTCATGTGCAGCTTCCTTCGCCACCGAGGGGCAAGTCTGTAGCTTCCTCCACCCTCTATGTCGTCATCCACAGCTTCTTTCGTTGCTAATACCGTTGTCATTTAAAAATGTTAATATGTTATTATTCCTAATTAGAACTGATAACCCCTATTTAGAACTTTTAATCCCTATTTAGAACTGTTAATCCTATTTAAAATTGTTATTAGTCCCTATTTAGAACTATTATTAAGGTTTTAGGAATAATGACAAGTGTACAAAATCATTTAGAAGATTTGTCAAAAAAAACTCGAGAAAGGATTCCTGTTGGATTTGATGTAAAACTTTATTGTTTGACATTTTTGTTATTAAAAGATGAACAATATGACTTTGTACTTTATATGTTTTCAATTTGATGTTGCATTATTATTTTTATAATCATATTTATCTATCATAATATATTTTAATATTTTAATATTCTAGAGCATCTCGCTTCACTCAGGTAGGCGCTTAGCGCCTTAGGTGTTTTGAGACCTTGTTGGCACCTAGTACTTTTAAAAACACTGATAAGCCTTAGAAAAAGTTTTGCATGGATGTATGTTTTAAAATGGATTTGAGTGCATATTCAAAAACTAATAGGGCAGGATAACAAAAAGAAAATCAAGGATGGGACAGGTTAAAATAATTGAGACATGAAAGGAACATGCTTGATATTGTAAAAACATGACACATTAGATTATAAGAGGCCTTAGAAAAAACAACAATTTTCTAGCCCTAATGTTATATAACATTAGATATTAACTGCTATGACTAAAGAGCTTGATTTATTTTCTAGTCACCAATATGTATCTTAGGTATGCTACCTGTTAACCATGCAGCTATATATAGATTGGGTACAAGGTTAGATATCAGATCAGGCAGACACAACAATGGACAAGTTTGTGCAAAGAAAATCACCTGTTTGCATGTTCCGAAGTTGTGCATTTGCTGCAATCATGTGTACATGGACACATGGCTTTTGAGAGTGCATTCCCTCTGATCTATTTCTAGTGAACTTAAAATATCCATCTGCTAGGTACTACTGCTACTATGATGCATTAATTTCATAGAATCTTCTTCCATATGTCGTCATTAATCATCCAAATTGTACTGCACCAGTATTCCTATTAGAGAAATAACTGCAAGTTTTGACTATTAATATTAGATCTCAATTTGTTTCATAATTCTTAGTTTCTTGTTCCTAAATGTACAGTGTTATGAGGTACCTTGTTTATAGCTTTTTATTCTCTCAGGTGTATGTGCATAGCAAATTGATGATAATTGATGATCGTGAGGTGTTGATTGGTTCAGCAAACATAAATGATAGAAGCTTGTTAGGCTCAAGAGATTCAGAGGTATAATTACTACTTTGTTCTACCTCCTTCATGTTAATAAAAATACAAAATGAATGAAGCAGGCAAAACAAACATGTGTTCCAAAAAGGATTGCCATTTTCCTTTACAGATATAAGTGATGCATATACCATGTTGATAAAAGATTTTCACTTACTAACCTATACATTTTGATGATTTGAATAAGTCATTTTTTGGACAAGTAAATAACAAATGATTTGTATTTTTTAAAATTATTTGGCCTTTACATGGTAAGTTAAGGAATTGTCATGACCCTGTGTGACTGTCTAACCGAAGTATTAATTGTTAAAATGCTTCTTTTCAACTTTGATGATTTTATATTTGGATTTTCATATTGTATCGCTTTTAGTAATTGGAAACTTGCTACTTGCTAGCCATGAATGCTAATGTTCTTATTCCATATGCATAGATCAGTTTGTCTAGGGCATTGCCTTTTGTAGAGCTCAATGATAAGAAAAGATCCATATGTGACCCCAGATATGTGGGACGTATAGCTCATTCTTGTTGTGCTCCTAAGAGATTTGCATCTCTGTGCTCTCTGAGAAGATATGGATTTTTTGAGGCATTTCATAGGTGATGAAGCACATTGTTTAGCTTCCCTACTTATGGTTTCATGATAATAGTTATACATATTAGAATTGTATGGCTTCATTTTTTTGCAGCTTATAATTATCTCATATTTACAGTTTTCTATAGCACATAGGAAGAACCAAGTCTTGATTTCAAGCATCCGTATCCTGCAGATGAGGTTTACTCCAATAAATAGTACTTGAAGGGGTGATTTTCATCCGGGATGTGTGATTGTGTTTTGGAAGATTAAACTAGCCTATTTGCTTACATTTTCATTATAAATCTCCATCTCCTGAAGCAGTGTGAGTGCAGCAAGCTAAACTTCCATAGTGGATTTCAGTCTAAAGGGAATACTTCAACACATTGTTGATACATTTCAAACTTTAACAGTTGCAGCCTATCATAAAGACAAAACAGTATACTACAGCAAATTTCCCTACACTATTGAAGCTTGTTGTTGTACATTACAGTAGGTGCCTATTACGAAAAGGGAGATATGGTGATTGCAAATTAAAAGTCAATATTACTGCCATTCACTAGAGCTACGGTTCTACTTCGACTTTATCATTTTCGTATTTAGAGAAAGTTTTGTATGCCAGAAAAGAAGGCATCTTTGAACATCTAGTTTTACTGGATTGATTCTTACATTGCAGCATTTCTGTGGACTATTGTATTTGCTTCTTTGACATAAATTTGTCTTGCCTTGACTATCAGCCTGCTTTTTTTGCTTACTCAGATTGGTATACTTATAGAAGATAAAGAATATGTTGACTCATTCATGAATGGAAAGCCTTGGAAAGCTGGAAAGTTTTCTCTTAGCCTTCGCCTCTCACTGTGGTTGGAACATCTAGGTCTTCATGCTGGAGAGGTTTGTAGTTGATTTCCTAAATACTCCAATGCTTTTATCAGATTCAAGAAGTTTCAGTTATTTAGTAACTTTAATTCATTGGGCATGATGATCAAGCCCTGTTTAAATGCTCCTATTTGAATAGAACTATGGTTTAGCAACCAAAATCATGTGATGTGCTCATTTTTTGGTCATTATGTCAGATACCGGATGGAAACCATGGCATAATATTAAATAATCCAGCATTCTTAGCTTTACTTATTGCTAGAAATATAAGATTCTTTGGTTTTATCTTTGTGGATATCTCTGCATGTTTTTTCTTTTCCTTTGTTTGTTCATATTGTTTTACTCAGTTTCCTCATGCCATTGTTAATTTGCAGAGGCCCTGTATCCAAATAGTCTTAAAAGATAAAACTATCTGTTAGATTAATTCCTTTACTCTAGTACGAGTGATGCTTCTGTTGCAAGATGACTTTACACCATTAAGTTTGTTAATGGAAAACAAAAGAGAAATAGCTAGTTAAGTTTAGGATATTCTACTATATTTGATATATAATTCATTTTAACGCTTACAGATCAGTAAGATCAGGGATCCAATCAATAATGCAGCATACAAGGACATCTGGATGGCGACAGCTGAGGTGTGAAAATTTAATGACTTGATGAAGCAATTATTCTTCTTTTACGAGGCTCATCTTGACTCCCTTTGTTTATCATCATAAAGTCTTTGCATTATAAAGAATCAATCAGATTGGTTGTAACTTCTCCTGCACATGCCAAAAAATAAAATAAAATTAGACGGATAAATTTTCTGTGTAGAACATATGTGCATGTACAAAATTCTCCTAGTGATGCATTCATGGTTATGATGAATGATCAAATTTTGTAGCACATTCAGACACCAACATAAAATTCAAACTAGCAATAAAGCTCAACTTACTATGTTTCTAGGAAGTAGTTAGAAGTTACAATGGACAGACCTTAATGGGCATGGAATTGTTGAATGTTGAGAATCATCTTTATACAAAAGCCAAGTACTATTTTCAGTGACTTAAATATGATCGTAATTATAGTCTTTAAGGCAACCCATCACATCCATGTCAATACAAATCAGGTTTCGGCTTGCACATGTTTATTCTTCAATGTAGATGAATTTTTTTCTCAAAATCAACATTTAGAGCCTATATCAAAAAAATTTCATATCTTGGATTAAGAATATAAATTGATTGTGCTTTTTGCTTCCCTATCCATCACTTCTAAGTTTTTGATTTTATCTCTTAGCAGACAAATACCATAATCTACCAGGAAGTCTTTTCGTGTGTTCCTAACGATCTTATCCACTGCAGGTATCACAACTTGAGCTTGTTGTTTATTTTCCTAGTTTCTTTGCAAATGTCCGTTTCACTCATTCTGAACAATGTCAAATTTTTCCAGAGCTACATTTCGAGAAAGCACCAACTACTTCAAGGAGAAACTTGGGTACACAACTATTGATTTGGGTATTTCTTCGGAGAAGAAGGATCCTAATCATAAAGAACACAAAGGCACAGATCCAATACAGAGGCTAGAGTCGGTGAGAGGTCACCTTGTTTCTTTTCCCCTGAAATTCATGTGCAATGAGGATTTGAGGCCTGCCTTCAGTCAAGGTGAGTTCTATGTCTGGCCTTTAGTTTTTCTTTAGGCTTATTTATCTGATGCCATCTTTTTTTATCACCACGATATGCTTCAAAGCAAGGCCAGCATGACAACACTTGTTGCTTGTAAATTCTAATATAAGGAAAGCTTAGCCATTCTTTTTGAACAAAGTTGGTATTCCAAGAAGCCTATCTGTCCATTCAACCATTCTTTGCAAGAACTATTTTGTATTTTTTAGGTGTAACTTGTAAAGTTGTCATTATTGAAAAGCATAATTGCCTGAAAGGGTTATTGGGGCAAAATCAAATTGATGGATGTTCTCGCACAGTTCTTTTAATAATTCCATATAAATAGGAAAAAGTTCTTTCTATTCTTGTTCAATTATGGATAACTTTTTCTCAGTTTCTGGATCTATTCAAGTCGTGTTTCCCTTTACGGACTTTCTAGCATCCTTGCAACAGAACCATTGTACAAATTAGGCCGTTTCTAATAGCTTATGCCTACTCTGGACCCTAGCACAATAATGTTTGGTTTGTTCTTTGGCAATAATAAGGCTCAAATTCTGTCTTCATTATTTATTGTTTGTATAAAAAAAACAAAAAAACACAATCATCAGATCTAACCTAGGTACTAAAGCGTTACAACCTTAATTGGTGGTTTTGTCTAATTGGGCTTTTGAGGATAGAAAATTGTTTTTTGATAAAAAAATACCAAAATACTAAGAGAAATCGTTGTTAAAATTCTCGACAATAATGACATGACGTGTAACAAGTTTCGTTTCTGTATTAGTTTCATTATGTTTCTATTATGATGGTTTAGAAACATATTTTGATCTTAAATTTTCTTATATTTTCCTGTTATAAGTGATCATACTTGTACATGATGGAAGAATATTGGATCCTTATAAGCCTCTGCTTCCTTTTTTAAACTTTATCTTTGGTTTCTTCGTTCTTATTGTCGTTTTAATTGGAGTTGGATTTACTTTATTATTATTATTATTATTATTATTTTTCTAACAATGTGAGCGTAGTCTTTAGGATGCAAACTGGATATGTCATGTTTCTCTTGGTGGATACTTTAGTCGTAGCATGATTCTGATTGATATCGGAACAACATTCTAAGGCATTACTCTGTACGATTATTATTTTGTATGAGTTTACGTTCCATCCGTACTGACTTAGATTACTAATTTCCCTTTTTTCTTTATAGATATACCGTAATTCCATGGCAATTTGATTTTAAAGGGGAAATAGAATAGGTTAGAAAGATAGTGTGGACTTTATATTATTTTCATTTCTTATTTTTATTATCATCACTATAGAATTGTTTGATGTGTCTAAGGTTTAAAATGAATCCAGATCTAGTGTTTGAGCATGTTATAAGTTCATCGTTGGATGCTTAAATTAATGAAGTTTGACCGTCAACTTAAGTTACTTAAGAAAAATCTAAGGAGCACATGTGATCTTTTTTATAAGGTGTTTGATAACCAGTCAAGTTGAGTAAAAAGTTAATTCATATGATAAGTCAATATTTGATTATTATTGATATGATCCCGTAGGTTTGTAAGAAATTATTCACTTTATATATGTACATACTATTTTATCTTTTCGGGTTCGTTAGTCCCAAAAAAATATCTTTAAGAATAAAGATAATCCGATGGATTTATACTCATCATCACAAAATAATTATGCTGATTGTAAAAATATACATTGAAACGTCAAGTATTATAATTATTAATAGTTGAGTTATCCACGTAAAGGATCTATTAGATTTTGTTTTCGCCGGTCTGCATGAAGTGATGAACGAGCATTATTCCTTTTTCCACTGCTCCCCCGCTATCTCAAGCTATGATGTCTTCCTCCAAACTCTAAAGAAGAAAGGAATAGACAAGTTTTAGAAACCCAACTCGACGAGAAGACAAAAACGAGAGTCCACGTAAGTTGGAAGGAATCAACAAACCCAATTCACAAGTTGTATATGATCGATGGTGAGCAAATCTCGACCTTTCATTAAGGAGAGAAATGCTCTCTACACCTAAGAAGATAAAAGGAACAATGATAAGAATAAACAACACAAGTTGGTTCTGCATGCTGCTGATTCATTATGACCTTTGCTTTTGCTTGATGGTTTAAACCACAATCTGAAACGGTCCGACCTTATTGACAATCCCACCTCCTAAAATTATTGCTTTGTGATAGAGAAGTGAGTTTGCTTTAATGCCCTCTCAATACAATAATATATCATCTTAATTTTTATTTATATTTTTTATTAAAATCTTTTTTAAGTCTTTTCCTATTATTTCTCTCTCTCGTATCAGTAGCATTAATTATTTCAATGATTATTTTATTTTTAGGTATAAAAATATCTTATTATTCATATATATCATCGATATCTAATTGTTCATGAATAAAAATATTTTTTATTATGCCCATCTTTAAGATACTTCAACGATGGATGACATATTTGTACATGCATTCCATCTTAGTCAACACCTACCGAAATAATAAACATGTGAGACGGCTACTTTCATACTTGTAAACACACATAAAGTGTCAATTGGGCTATTTAAACTAATAAACTTGGTCAAAAAATGACCCTAAGAGCGCTGCACAACATTGACGTGCAACCACTCCCACTGTGCGTGTGACTCAGCCACCTACCGCGAAAGCCTTCTTCCTCCTATAAAGCCCCACCCGGACCTCATCGTCTTCCACCACAACTCACAACTCACCTCAAGAAACTTCACCCATGGCTTCCGGTTCTTGGACGCTCGAGATCGAGTCCTCCGTCGAGGCATCTCGACTGTTCAGGGCCGCCGCCCTCGACTGGCACTCCTTGGCTCCTAAGGTCGTGCCGGAGATCGTCGTCAGCGGCGCCGTCCTCGAAGGCGACGGCTCTGTTGGATCCGTAAGGCAGCTCAACTTCTCACCAGGTACGACCCACTACGAGAAAGCTTGAGTGACACGGTACGGTACATGCATGGTGACACGTACGTTATCGTATTGACTGCAGCACTACCATTCGGCTACGTGAAGGAGCGGCTGGACTTTGTGGACGTTGACAAGTTCGAGTGCAAGCAGACCCTCTTCGAAGGGGGCCACATCGGGACGAAGCTGGAGATAGCGACGAGCCATTTCAAGTTCGAGCCGGCCTCCGGCGGAGGATGTGTGCTGACGGTGGTGACCACCTACAAACTCCTGCCTGGAGTTGAGGACGACCAGAGCGAGATAGTGAGGTCTAAGGAGACTGTGACGGGAATCATCAAGGCCGCAGAAGCTTACCTCGTCGCCAATCCTGATGCCTATGTGTAGATCGATCGAGCATCTATCGAGTTTGCGTGAGATTTCCTTTGTGTTCTCTGCATAAGTTGCATCAGTGTGCTTTCCTTGTCTCCTAAACAATAATCGATTGCGAGCCAATAAACAATCACTCTCTCTCTCTGGGTTTGGTGCGTTTTGCACATCTCTAGTCACAAGCAAGTCAACTGAGCATATGGTCAAATTTGGGTTGCATTCTATGTTGTATTGTATGTTGCATTTCAATGGAGTTTGACGGAGTTGTTTGTTCCATTAAAAGACCATAAATGGTCAAAAGCTTATCCACTAGTGTTACATGACCATTGCAAAGCTTATTCAAATCATGCATTACCACCACCTTTACCGCTAAACATTCATCTTTTGACTGTCATTCTCCCACTGAGTACAATAATTTAAAATTATCTTTCGCTGTTATTATCCTTCCCTTACAAAAAAAAACATATTAATAATTTTGACATTGAAATGTATTCTATTCAAATAATCGTTTAATGGTTGGGTTTTACGTTACATTTCTTATGGCTTTCTCCGGAATTTCCCATATTTAACAAGTCTAGATTTCTCAGCGAGTGGGAGAATTATCCTTTTATTTTTCGTAAAAAAATCTTTTCTTTTATTTTCCTACCTAAAGAGAATACCTAATTATTCTTTTCTTTTATACACCTACACCTACATGAAGATGTTGATAATTACATATGTACTTGCGGGCTCGTATATGCATGCACCTAAGAATAGCTTGAACATATAATAAAAAAAAAGAATATATAAGATAATATAAGTAAATGTGGAATTATAATAAATATTTTTTTTTAAAATCACTCAATTTATTTTTACTTTACATATGGAGTATTTTTTTTAATTTTAATAATTAAACTAATTGATACATTCAAAAAATATATTAAATGAGTTATGTGTGTGTGTTTTGGGAAGATATTGTTGTCGTTTGAGTTAGACCGATGTAATTCAAATCTGCATGTGTAGGATTATCCGATGCGCTATCTGCTTGAAGATCAAGGTCGGGAAAGATTTCTTAAGCTGATCCCTTCGAGGTTTAAGTTGATAACCCGAAATAGATAAATATAGTCGTTGATAGTAAAAGGTAATCTCTTTACTATACTAGAAGTAAGCTTTTATACATGATAGCAAAGGAATGATATATTCTATAGAATATTCTTCGAAGAGGCAACTCTTAATTGCCTCTAACAACCTCAATTTGACCTTTTGTCTACATAATCAATAAGAGAACGACAGAAGTAGTCCACAACCACTTGTCTTAGATCAATGTCCATTCTAGCAGACCGATGAAGGATAACTTTTATCTCTTTCCAACTTAAACGACACGTGGAGGGCATATATCGGATGGTGGTTGGTCGATACTATCCTCCATATAATTTGTCCCTTCTTGAAGGTGTGCTTTGGTGGCTTTTTGGCAAAGGGTTCCCGACCAATGTACCTTGGGCATATTAAAAAAAAAGGACTAAGAACGTATCCTTCTCGCCTCAAGAAGCGAGACGATCGATGCATGCCAACTAGCCCACCTTGGGCAAATGGGGGTCGGTGCCCTACCCCTCCACCTTGGTCGCTACTTGAGTAGGAAGGGGGTTCACTTCCAGCCCTTCCTTCATGATCAATAGAGGAGGTCGGAGCCCGACCCACCTGTCTCAGGCGATGGCGCTCAACCTAGCCCCCTCAGGTGGAAAGGGAGTCGATGCCCAATCCCTCCATCATGGTCAACATCGATCTCTCAGCCCTAAGCAAGGGGGGAGGTCGACGCTGACCCCTCAACTTCGAGTTAGGCTTAAGGAAGTTTAATTTTTCTAACCTCCATGTCTCAAACAAGTCTCACTTTAGACGTATTGGACTTTCCCCACATGGTCTGATTTATGTTTTTGAGGACTCTACTCAGGTTAAATTTAAAAATAAAAATAAAAATAAATTATGATAGTTGTTTAAGGATAAGAGGAACCACTAACCCATTCTGATTGAAATTTACTTAAGAAATTGAAGAAAAGGGCGAACTCTATGCTTAGCAATTTACCTCTAGAACTTAATTCTAGACTATCAATAGTATTTCACTTGTAGTATTATGGAATCATAATACAACAATAATAACAAACCATAGTATTTGGGGTGGTTGTCATTTAATACAAACAATAATAACAACAATAAAATTGTAATTCTTAACTATTTAGGATTAATGATTACATACATCTTTTGCTATCGTTAAAAATTATCATTAAATACTAAGCTTGATTTATCTTGTTTTTGAATGCTCATAGCAATATGCATACCATTATGCGTCGGTAAGGGCTAACTCATAACTCAAGAAGGTGGCATAAACATGACTTTGTTTCTGAATATATATATATATATATATATATATATATATATATATATATATATATATATATATAATGAAGTAGTTAAGGTAAGCGATGTGACGATGGAGCTCAATCGGATGCCGAGCCGATGTATTTAGGACGTATTGTTATTTCATGAATCAGTTGCCTCCTAAGGTTAAAGTAGCTTAAGCTTCGCTTCCTCTCTTTTTTCTTCAAAGCTTCGTCCAATCTTTTAGAGTTGGGTTGGTCAAATGGATCAAATGGCCAATGAGGATGTTTAGCAAGAAAGGTTCCGATCTTAGAGGATTCTTTCCAAGCTAAATACATACTTGGGATAATGCAACTAAATTTGCTTTGCTCAATTCCTTGTGCTCGTTGGAGCTAGCCATGTTGGTTTCAAACAAGACGAAGATGTTACGTCGAGTCTAATCTTATCGCTTATGAAATCCTTTTTGCTTATACAACCTTAGCTTCGGATGGATAAGTTTAGCAACTAACAAAGTTTTCAAAGTTCCATAATTATTCGCTTTAGGGTCACAAGCTGTTAGGAATGGAGGAGTAAGGAAAAAACAGAATACTACGATACGATTAAAAAAAATATTTTCTGACTCAAAAAAATTGATGTAGTATTGACAAAAACACTTACAAGATATTCTCAAGTGCACACACTCTCTATATTCCTTGCTTCATGTACTATGGTCCTATTTATAGGATCTAGTTGTAACCACCCTATAACTACTAGATCATGATTGTAGTAGTTATTGAAATCATCCTATAACTACTAAATCATGATTGAGGTATCTATTACGGGGGTTTGCATCACGAAAAAAATGTCTAAAATCCAAATACCTCTTAAAAAAAAGAGTTAAAAAACCGAGTTCACTAGCGTCTTTTTCCTAACATAACAGCGGCTACGCACCTTCTCCCTCACTTGATGAGTGCCTCCTAGAGACATGCTTTAGACATGAATTAATTCCTTCTCCTATAGCCCCAGAGAGGAAACAGACTTATCGCTCGATAAAGGGGTTCTTTTACTTGTGTGCTTACGGAGAGGAGTCATCTTACTGTTCGTTAGAATCATAGAAGGCAATTAAAGAATCGAATCTAGAAAGCCCCGCCAGCATTATATCTACCCCAAATGTAAAGCCTTCTTTCCTCTTCTCTCAGCCTACCCCTACTCGATCTTGGGCTTACTTTCTTTTCTTTAACAGCTGATCCGGATCCTCTAGCTGCAGCATCTAAGACTGCCCTTGCTCGGTTTGAAACTGAGCTACCCTTCTATAACTCTTCAGCTTGGGGTATGATCTGCTAACTATAAGAATGGAGCAGCTGACAACAATACTTTCACTACTCCTTATAGGGCTATAGCTCGAAATCGGTAATTGAGCTACTCAAATGCAGCAGAGGATGAGGATAAAAGGGTGAAGGGAAAGAGAGGAGGAGGAGGAGAAGGAGAAGCCTCCTCCTCCTCCTCGTCCTACATGTGAACTTAAAACACATGAATTATTCCCCATTTTTTTGCCACTCTATTAGTGTCTTTATTAGAGCAGTCTTCCAGAATTGCGTTAGCATAAATCACCGAGCTCATGCTTTGCTGAGGCCATCTTTTCGCTAGAGACAAAATGCTACTACTACCTCTGACCGATAAAGGGTTTTCTTAGATTATTCTAAGATGCTGAGATCAAAACTCATCATTTATCCTTCGTAAAAGAAAAAACAGATGGACATTATGTTTCTATTGAAACATTTTGATTGGTCAGTGCAGTGCATTATTATTGGTCTCATATTAACATTATATACATTTTTTAAAATAGGTAGACGTTATTATGATCCAAAGCTGATAAATTGCAGCTGCAAGTCGTACTTACTTTCCGATGTGAATTATTATAAGCAATCGCCAATTTATCTTTTATATCTGATGAACTTTTCTAACCATTATTAGTTTAAGCTTGCATGAGTTGTTACAAAACAAAAACTTTTAAGTTCGGTTTGGAAGTAATGCAGCCATTGGCTGCCTGATGGATTCTGTAATCCTGGAAGCAGAAAGAGGTAACAACATGAGAGATCATCTGATCAAATCATGTGGTCAGCCTATGAGAAGACAAAAGCCAGTCATGACATATAGCGGTCAGTTCATACGTCCTAGTAATTTGTAGTGGTATAAAACGATCAGTATCTGATGAGATTAAACTCGTACCTGATCAAGAAAAGATTTTCTTCATGAATTCACCCTAATAAGCAAGTGTGAGGATTAACAAAAACATAATATTATTATAGTACTCATATCAGCCTTGACTGGATTCCATGAAAAAAAAAAAGAAAAATAATAATTCATTAAATAAATGTGAGGACTGACATTTAATGAATTACAAACAAAATAAGACTAGTTGATATTTTCGTAAATATGGACTCCAAAGATTCAGGTTGATGATAATCGAAATATACAACATACACAAAATCTTCAATTTCTATTACGAGCCAGCCATTATCCCAGCCCTCTCATGATTTGCTTGATCTTCAACCTCATCGACCCTCGTGCAGATCCTCGGAAAACACTGCAGCCTTGGAGATGTTGTCATTGTCAAAAATGCTTAGGCCAGAGAAAGGACCAGAAGAGAACATGGACGAAGTGGCATCTGATTCATAGGTAGTTGAAGACTGCTTGTTCTTGGGATGGGTTGATGGGGTTGGAAGGGGATCCTGGCACTCAGCAACATGCTGTACCATTTTAAGCGACTGCACCACTTCGCCCATCGTGGGCCTCTGATTTGCCTCATGTGCAACACAAGCTGCTGCAATTGTGCAAACTCGGACAAAATCATCCTTTGGGTACTTACCTGCAAGCCTAGGGTCTGCAAGCTCCTCTAATCTATTATTGTCACGAAGAATTGGCCGGGCCTGCAAGTATCAGGATGTATAAATGAATATGATTTGTTGTTTAATGAATTGTTTTATACTTTTATGTCGGTATTGTGTGTTTATTTTTCTGCAGAAGGCTGTCAATAAAAAGAATGACCACCCCAATAATTGCAGAAAGATTATCACAAAAGAATATCTACAGCTACTATTGTAATAATATCTACATGGTGTGTGTTTTCCTGCTCCTATTTTTTTCCCTTGCGGAGATTATACATTTTTCTTTATTCAATGTAATCTTCATTCAAATTCAACTACGAAACCTACACCACGTAGACAAATGAGAATTTCTGATAAGAGAAACCATCGAATAATGCAGATTAAGTTTAAACATAAATGGCATAGAATGTCTAACCCAGGTTACTAGGTTTTCCTGGCCAGATGGTTGTGACATATCTACAGGCCTCCTTCCTGTAAGCAGTTCAAGTAGAACTACTCCATAGCTGTACACGTCACTCTTTACTAACAAGTGTCCTGTCATCGCATACTCAGGTGCTACATACCTGAAATGACATGGGTTTCAATGGTGCAATAACACAGGTCAAAATAAAGTTACTTGAAAAGAAAGGAATTGACCACTCACCCAAATGTTCCCATCACACGAGTGGAAAGATAATTTGCACGGCCTTCAGGTGCTTGCTTGGCGAGACCAAAGTCAGAAACCTTGGCATGGAAGTTGTTCTCGAGCAATATATTGGACGCTTTGAAATCCCTGTGGATCACACAGGGTTGAGAATCCTCATGTAGGTAGGCTAACCCTCTAGCAGCATCAAGAGCAATTCTCATTCTAGTGTCCCAATCTAAAGGACAGTTTCCTCCCAGGGGGCCTGAAGAAAATGTAAGTATTAGCATAATAGTAAGAAACTTTTGCCTGTATTTAAATGAAATCGAGGTTCGATATGAAAAACTCTAAGCAGAAACTACAGCAACAATCTAATACTACCATGAAGCCAGGACTCCAAGCTGCCATTTGGAACAAGCTCATAGCAAAGAAGATTTTGTGACGAATCACGGCTGCCACAGTAACCAACAAGTTTCACAAGATTTCTATGATGCAGCCTGCTCAGCATCTCAACCTCAACCAGGAATTCTTTATCTCCTTGGTGTCCTCCGCTAGAGAGCTTCTTGATGGCAACAGCTGTCCCATCACTCAATACACCCTTGAAAACACGACCAAACCCACCTTCCCCAACTATGCTGGCAGGCTCAAAATTATTTGTAGCCTCTTTGAGCTCCTCATACGAAAGGAACCGTGTACTGGTGAGATGAGGAAGAGACCCTTCTACAGAAACTGCATCTGCAGTCCTTGACTTTACTGCAAAGTAAATTAACGATGAATGTCTAAAAATATAACAATTATATCACATCAAAATTGATCGTTAAAGAAGGAAAGCAACTCAATATGATCTAACTAAGAATTAACAAAACTAAGAAATCCTGTAATGGAACTCTGAGTAGCAGCAGCTAAGCAAACAGTAATATGAAGTAATGAACCTTTGCTTGCATCCAAAGCATCTGAAATTATGTTGAGAGAAATTTGTTGCCATCTGTTAGTCTGTTACAGGAAATTAACAATGTTCATTTCCAAAGCATCCTGAATCAATCTCCCAACACAAAGCCATCACTTTGAGTTCCTTCCAGAAAGTGAAAATACTGAAGGATAAGCTGATTATCTATCGGATGTATGCTTTGAGAGTTTTTCTATAGTTAGCTTGCAATCTCCAAAAGTAAATATTTTCTATGAAATTTCCAGCCACGTTGGTCCAAACTATTTCTATTATCCAATACCATGATCAAAGTTGAAACAACACAGGCTTAGGTTCCCAAGAAATCGATCCTTCGGAGTGCGTAGTGGCGTTGGTAATGTTTCTTAACATGTTCTATTATCCAATACCATGATGACAAGCTATTGTTGGCACTGCAGAATGTGAGATACAGATTTAAGCCAGATGTCAACAAGGCTTCCAACAATATAATTGAGGTATAATAAATTATATATTAGGAATTTAAGATATTTCACCATTGAGTCCATATTTAATATTCAATTACTATTTATATTTGTTAATATAAGGATGGTCCCGAAGCTTCTAGCATGTTCATCGAGAACATCACAATATCATACTCAGATCATATGGATCTTGGTAATACAACTGAACCGTATAATTTGTCTTGTACATACCTTAATCAAGTTTATCTAAAATAAGTCTTCACTGCCATTCTGCAACTGAGTGGTGGCTATAATTCTCAGGACCGATACCAAATTTGAAGAGAGTAGGAATGCGGGTTTTATAACAGATCATATCATCCAGTGGTTGTGAACATAATTAGTCGCTATTCATCTTGGTTCATATGAAAGTTCGCAAGCGACTCTCATGCAAACGCTTGGAGAAACTAGTTTACATCCGCTACAGTACACAGACATTTGAGACTGCTTTGTGTTGAGATTGATAAGAAAACAGAATAACCCAGGTTGATTCGTTCGATTTCTAGCTTTAACATGATGACTCGGATTCGATGCTCAATCGGGTTCACACAGGGGAGGAGGGTCTAAACACTCCGATGAGGCAGGATACCATTCACATTCATCTTATTTTCATTTTTGAGGCAAGACAAGAGTAAGAGAAACAACGAGGATTAGAGGATCCTAACAAGGAAGAGCAACATCCAAAGTCAGGTCATGGCTGTCCTTTGAGCTGTTAGTCTTCTAGGGTTCATGGCAGCACATAGCAGGGTCATACATTCGGCCATCACAACAAGGGAAAGGGTCATGCCTCACAGTTGGTTGATCCATATAACACACTCAATGAGCTACAAGTCTAATCAGATGATGATACACCTTCATAGTTCATACTTCATAAGGTTCAGGGAGATAGTAACGATGTGAACAATAGTATATCAACCAATGATGATAGCCAAAATGGCCAATCCAATGTTCCCTAACTTGGACCTGAATAGATGGAGCATGGAGTGAGGAGCAGTATTTCAATCATGTTATCCAAGATATAGATCATGAAGCACGAGTACTCATGCAACTTGTTTATGGTCGCAAAGTCAACAGCTGTTGATTCATACGAGGATATGAAACAGAACCCACATAACATTAAGCCATATAGGAGTTCCTTGCATTCTCAGCCTTCCACTACCCTGGGTCTTAGGGCCAACAGATGCATGATAATAGTCGGTCATTCACTTCAGACTCAAATGCCCTTTACAGCATGCAATGGTACACTGACAAGAGCCATGGCATAGGTGCAATATAACCTATGAAACCGTACTTGCCAGTTGCCACAATCTTACTTGCATGAGGAGCCTCCCGACATGTGGTTCAGGTTGAGGCAACAACTACTACCACATTAACGCACCAGTGACACATTGTTTATCAGATGTCCTATGATGTATTGCAATAATCTATAGCTTCATTACATCCAGAATCCTGACCACCCATCACCGAATCATGACGATCAGATATATGATTATATTATATGATCATATTATACAATCATTTGATATACTTATTTGCTAAAGAAGATATACTGTGTTTGTGCATTATAAGGGATTCCTTAGATAATAACTTGTGTTCCTTTTTGATACATGTTTTCATGCAATGCTCATTCTTTAAACTCAAAGAACCACTTCAATTTTATGAGTCTTGTTTATATTTAATGAAAAGGTGGAAAATAACCCTAAAATAAGTTGGATTTACCTTTTTCAATTTCATGTTCTTTAAAAAATTATTTAAGGGGGAACAGTCTTCTGATTCCAATGTTTGATTTCTTCCTATTGCAAGATGGGGGACAATATCTTTATGAACACAAGTCTTCATTTATCATCGATTGCCTTTTCTAGATTATAGATGGATTCTAATATTATTGCCAATCAGTATACATACTATTTTATTTTATGTGATAAGATATATGTGGAACATTTTCTAATGAATATTTAAATTGTATTTTTCAAGATAAATTGCATTGCTTTTTCTAAATTTATAAAATTGTGAACTTATGACTCAATGTTGGGATCCTATTGTGCACCATGGTGCTCATGCATCAATCAAACTCTGAGAAAGCTTCATTATTTTTGTGGAAGCTCGACTAATGTTGATATTTCCAGTATTTTTCATGTTAAACACTTGCACTCAACAAGATTCTTGTGATTTTGTTGTTCAAGAGAACCTTTGATATGGAAATATCTTATTTAATTGCCTTCAATTCCAACCATTTTCTGCTTTTTTCTGGATGTAGTTCAAATTTCCAACTTTTCCAGAGTCTCTTTAGCAAAACCAAGAGAAAGCTATGGACTTATCTTCTAACTATCAACCACCTCCAACTTGTTCCAGTGTCACCCAATCTTCCATCTGCTTCGCCAAAGATGCCAATTGGTTTCTCTATTCTTCTCATTCAACCAACTCCCACACATTTGCACAATTCCATGACTACCTCCATAGAGCTTAGATCGATGACTGTTGTTAAAAATGACACATAGCTCTACTCTCCAAATTTATCAAATCAAAAATCTTCTTGGGACTCTAAATAAACTAAGAAACAATAACAATTAACAAAATCTAATAGGCATCCAACATATCAAAAAATCTTGAACATGAAAGGTTTCAAAAAAAAGATGAAAAATGTAAATATGATAGGAAAGGTATCCTGTACTAATTTGATGGGTCTGATCTTGCTCGCTAGCAACAAAACAAAAATCTTGGCTTAATCTAACCTAAATTCAAAGTTAAAATAACTGGAACATAGACTGGCTCTATATATAGCCTAAAGGCCCTAAACCAATGTTTTCAATATTGTGCATTAGACTGATGTCAATCCACAGCCGAACTGATACAGGTCTGGTATGTGCCAGCATACATTCACATGATATGTCAGCACATGTTGCAACATGCTCGAAGGCTACATTTGTTTGGCAAAAACCCTAAAGAAACCCTATTTCATGATTGTTTCTACCTTTTAATGATGAACCCTAATAAGATTCATAAAATTAAAGTGATTTAAGTATAAAAAACAACAAATATTGCATCAAAACATATATCAGAAAAGGAACATGGGCTGTATCTAGAGAACACATTGTATTACACAAACAAGTTAACAGTCATCTAAGCAATTAAGCATAATAAATAATCATATAATAAGTTTAGGCAAAGTTGAAGCATCAATTCACAAAAATCTAGCCTGAAACCAGGTGGACCTAGCCTAGATCCACAAGTCTGGGGCTTGATCTTTATGAATCAAGCCCTAAATTAAGTGCAAATCAGTTATCAGAGATGCATAGGAAAAATCTCCCCAATCTTGACCTACTGAAACTAAATTCAAGTAAATAGGTTAACAAAGTAGGTTCAGAGTTACCTAATTTTGAAGAAATATCAGCTGGATCTTCGGGTCCCAACTTTCTCCTTGAGAAATTGGGGCTGCCCTGTAACTATTGCTTGAATTTAGGAGAGGTTTTAGTAGGATTTGGAAGAATCAGGGGAAATTTATGTGAGGGAAAGAAATGAGAATGAGAAGGGGTGCTGGATTTGAGAAAAAAGGGTCAAAAAAGGGCGGTTCAAAGAGACCCCTACAGCCCTCTTAAGCTTTTCTCAACCCATATGGGATTACTGCTCAGTTACAGGCCTAGTAACAGCCTTGAACTGGAGGGTAAGCCTGTTTGACAGGACCTACCAGGCAGTAAGTCCTATTTCAGAAGTGGACTGCCCGGTTCAAGGGGGTCCACATGCTGTAATGAGTAACTTTTCCTCCTCTTAGCCACAATGAGTAAGCTTCAAAATCAACTTTCCAGTTCTAAACAGAGATATGCATTAAAAATCAGTTCCTCTGCAACCTTTGGAAGTATTGGATCCACCCCAAATCTCAGTTTGTATAACATCTCTACCGTTCAGACATTCCATAAATTTCTGCATAACATCGTACTAGATGTGGATAGCCTTCCATATACATGCAAGTTTAAGCAACAAAATAGAACTTAAACATATACCTGCTTCTTCGGCTGGTACCTCCTTTCCTTTGCTAGATGTGCGGGAACAGATTACTAGCATGACCAAAGTAACAATGATGATAACACTGATACATATCCCAATAATTATAAAAATACTTAAATGTTTTTGGCCTCCAGAATCATAATTTGGTGCAGATGTTGGCAAGTAGGGCACTGCAGGTGGTGAAGCCATAGGTGATATAGCCCGAAAAGGTGCTGGAGAACAAGATTGAAAAGTCTGTCATCATTTCATCAGATTCCATCCGGAATTATAAAATCATTCTAGAGAAAGCATCCATCAATTTTGCTAAACATGAAATGCTGTCCCAACAGAAATTTTCAACATAAGATAAATGCAGATAGTTCGCATGGAAAGTGAGAGATTCTTTATTATGTATACAACTAAGAAAAACAGATAATTATATGAGATAAGATACTAGAACTCTTGGATGTATCTATATGTTTAACCATTAAAAAAGAGCTTTGCTGAAAAATGAAAGGTGCATTATGAAAAAACCCCTAGAAGGGTACAGTCAAGCTAAAGAAGAACAGATGCAGCTGAAATAGAAGCTACATCTAGTAAGCTTAGTTGATTTGGACACTCATGATACAAGATAGTCCTCAAGTTTCCAACAGCACTAACACCTTAAAAGCAGAAATAGTGTGATCACAAGATAGACAACCACAGGATACATTAAGTCTATAAGGGCTAAAAGTAGTCCAATTTCTTCTAAAAATAGAAGCTATCATGGACTAATCAACACTAAAGCTAACATAAATGTGCATCTACAATTTAACCTGTTTAGGTCCTGAAGTTTATTTCACTTTTTGAAGTAAGTTACTGGGAAAGTGGACCCGAGAAAAGTCCAAGTGTCCCTCGACATTGAATCAGATCAAAATAGTGGATGAGAGAACTATACAAAATATACCTCAAAAATGCAGATATGTTTTTTTTTCTCATAAAAACAATCCTGTACATTTGCAATATGACAAAGTAATCTTTTCTTGCATGATAATATTTTCTTGCATGATTTTGACTTTCATAAAATATTGAACAGTACAAATTGTTCAATATTTCTTGTTGCTTCCTCAAAATACATTCCTAAAGAATGTCAAATTTTTGCACTTCCAATGTGACACACTTTTTATCTCTGTCTACATTACATAAATCCCATGCTTAAGTGGTTCAAAGAGGTTGATACATAAAAAAATTGAAACCATGAACTGTGTGATACTGTGATCATACATCACATATAAAAAATGATATCATGATTACCCAAACAACTTGGTTGCTACATTATAAAACCACTGGCAGATATGTAGTTCAGGTTGATTAATTATGTCATTTGTTCCATGATGTTGATTCATGTCAAGTGACTCATTAACTACTAAAGTGTTGCAAATTACTTGTACAAATTTATGTTAATTTTCTGCATGTTTAGTAGTTCAGCACCATACTATATTTGCATGTTTCTTGAAAATGAAATGGGCGTTACAAACCTAGCTGATGGTAAAGAGAGAAGCAATAGTACACAGATAATGCTAAAGACTGCAACTTACAAAAATCATGGATTAAAATATAATAAAATGCACATACATAAACTTACTGACATCTAATAACCTGAATTTAATAAGTCCTTCTAGAGATTACCAGGTGGAGGAGCGAGTGGCCTAAACCAAGTCAAATTGAGAAGCCTGTAGTCGCCAACTAGATCCGGGTTGACGCGGACCCTATGCAGTGCAAGCGAAGAATTCATTGCAATGACTTTATCTGCAGAAAAACTTAACCCTGTATGTGGGGCTATGTTCATTGTGATATTTAACCCAAATGCACCAACAACATAAAAATTAACGATCTCAAATTGATCAATGCGCAGTTCAAGTTGATAAGCCAGTTCTTGAAGAAATTCATTGCTCCAATTTGATATCAGAGAAACATTCTGTAGGAAGAGCTCAACTTTCACTGGGTACACGCAATGGCAATCTTGCGTACCTCGTCTCTGCACCATGTTCGACTCACAACATTCTGCTCCAATGATAACATTAAAAATGATTATATTAAATATGGCAATTGCCCAAAAGAATAATGGTTTCTTATCTTAGTTCAACTGGTTAATACTTTCTAAGGCAGGATAATCAGATGAGAAACACCTTTCTATGCTTAAAAAGTTCAAATTGGAAAAGTTTTTACTAACTGAATAACATTTTCAAGAGACAGTTTCTACCTTGATCTTTATTGTCCACGAAGAAGTCATGTTTCTTTTGCTTTTCAGCGAAAACATTCATATGCTACTCTCTATTTAAAATGAATATCATTTACTCATAGCACGATAACACCTACTGAGAATTTATGCAGATTACACAAATCCTTAATGTATAAATGATAATGAATTCTAAAACATTCTTGTAATATTTCTTCAAATTTTGATTGATGTCTAACAACCTAGAAATTGGAACTAATAGACATCAATCACCTTTAGTAAATGTCCATTAATATACCTCTTAGGAGGAGGTCCATGTTAGGAAGACAAAACATTATATTTGTGGTGATAGTATCAACTATCAAGAGAAAATAACCATTATAACAACTTAACAAAAATATAAAACATGATTTGCAATACCGTACTATACCGCTTGGTACGGACAATACATTGATACATCTTAGTGTACCACGTATTGGAACGCTCGGTACGTACCGTATCGATCAGTACACCGATACGGTACGGTATTCAAAACCTATAAAAGAGAATTGTGTCCTGTAAGTTAACTACTTTAGCGAATTACAAAAGAATGAACTTAAGCTGTCGTATCAGAATGGTAGAATAAATTTGAAATAGCATATCAATCTTACCAGTTTGAGGAGACAAAGGTGGTTGTGTTAATCCAAAAGGAACCGAGCTTAAGTTTGAATATGCTGGATCAGAATAGCCAACAAGTGAAGGAGTAACAGCAAACTCTGTGGAAGGGTGTTGGTCATGCTCTATCGAAGGACTTACAAAACTCGACAAGCGTGAAGCGGGCACACCAACAGTGGTTAGCGAGCGATGTATCGGTGAAGCTCTGATTGGCAATGGCGAAGATGCAGCCTGCTGTAAAGAGTACTTCCTGTGCCTTCTGTTGACCAGAGGAAGACTAGCTGGCAAAGGAATTTCATCTTTTGATAGTGTGATCGTGGAATGAGCTTTATCCCATCCATCTGAAGGAGAAGCAGCTGGAGATATCACCGCTGCTTCTGGTATATGACTGGCAGGCTTCGCTTCAGTAACCACTTGCAAATATATTACAATAAACAGAAAGCCCAGAAACAGTATCTTTGTCGATAGTTTGAATAATCCTGCAAGTCAGAAATCAAGGTCCGATGAAGATCATGTTCAACAAACCAAACAGGGTTTGACATGTTTCTTTAAAATTGGCATCCAGGATGTTTGGTTCTTTATCCTAACAGTAAGCTACAACAATATGACACAATATTGATCATACCGAAAGCAACCCAAGAAAAGACAGCATTGCTGGGCATACTCGAAATAGATAGAATCACGTAGGTGTCAGACGTCCAGAAATAAACTCGTTTTAGCTTCCAAAACAAAGGTTGCAGTGTAGATATAGGTAAATTCAAGAAACAATAACTCAAAAGGATGGTTTAATCCATCAGCACCTCCAACCCACGGCCATTCCGTACCGCCACTTCAACACGCTCTGAACCAAATGAAATCAAGAATCGCTAAACAAAACACAAGCACGAACAGTACCTCCACAGTTGCAAACCCTCGAAACTTGCCGACAGCCCCCCACCCCCATCGCCGATCCAAACCGAGCAACGGCGACGCAGATCCACCGAGCTCAGCGGAGATCCTTCCGGCGAAGGGCGGGGAGCGCATGGAGGCCTCGGAGCCGAGCGGGGTAGCAGCGGGAGCAGCAGGCGCCGGCGAGCCTACACGGATCGAAACCGGAGAGAGATCGCGCGATCCGGAGCTCGACGGGCTCGATCTGGCGACGCGGAGCGCGATGACCAGGTCGGGATCCGTGATCGCCAGTCCATGGGAGGGAATTCCGATCCGGAAGAAGCTGTTAGGGCTTTTTGCCGCCCTTGGGCCAAACTTCCGCTTCCTTTCTACTCCTCTTTGTCTTCACTTTACTTTTTTCCTCTCCCTCTCTTCCAATTATTAGTTTTTTTCCTTTTATAGTCAATTCATTATAAATACTAGAGAACAGATCTGGTTGTTAGATTCACTCTGCTCTTAATGCAATTTGCACCTTTTATCACAACAAACACTATTAATTACCCAATCCAGAGCTTGAAATTACAAACGCGTCCCTACGGTTGTTAGGTTGGAGTAGGCTGAGCTACGAAATGATCAATCGGAGGTTATGGTTGTGATCGAAGTAACTAAGCATTCAAATCTCGAAAGTGAAGTCGATGATCAACCCATAGTGTTGCGATCAAGATTTATGTTTTCTTTCTTAGAGTAAAAGGTGTGTTGGTTTAGATATGACGTCTGGTACATGAAATTACCGATCAATATTCTGACGTTTTTCATAGAATATCATGAATATTTTATGAGACAGGCAGGCAATGAATAATGTTTTTAGTTAATTGTAAAGGAGGCAATGAATAATGTTTAAAAGTCAACTTTATATATTTAGATATTTTGGTTATGTTGTTGAAAATGTCAAAGCTTAGCATTTGAACCTTACTCAATTATTAATAATTCAAGACAAAGAAACATGAAGAAAATAATCTTGATTCCAAATTATAACCGGTCCATTCCTTTTGAAGATACTACAAAGTAATTGTATAAATTTCAAGAAAAAATGCATAAAAGCATATATTATATGATCAATAAGGCACACACATCATCTTATGTAATTGATAAAGATCTCCTAGTTTTTCTTCCTTCTCCGGGTATTTTCGTTCACACCGTCTATCACTTCGTCCTCTTCTATGCCCTCACCTGCCGCACCTATGACGTGGTGGTCTAGCTCTCCATCACCTTCTCCTCCGACCTCTCCTACCTCTGCCTCTCTATCTTCGTTCGTCGCTATTGTCTCCACCACTTCCTCTTCCTCGATAAGCTGGTCGGGGAGAGCAAGTGAGCACGGGAGGGCTACATGAGCCAGCTCTGTTAGGATCAAGAAAGCAGGGGGGGGGGTTGCAGGCGCGGGCGTTAATTAGTGCAGCAATTGATAAAAATGATAAATTTCAATGATTTCGAAAAACTTCGTTCAATGAAATTCTAAGTTTGACGAAAATCGTTAGTTAGACTCGAATAAGTTTGCAAGTGAGTAGAGAAGAGGGGATTGAACAATTTACAATGAAGTAAAGTAAAATATAGTAAAGAGAATAAGCAGTAAGGAAAGAACCTATCGGAATTTATAGTGGTTCGGTCATTGTGACCTACATGCACTTCCGATTCCTCCTCCGTTGAGGTCATTGGCGTCTACTAATGGTCTTCCTTCAATAGGCGAAAACCAACCACCTCTTTACAATACTTTTTTCTTTTCACTAAATTTAGGAGATAACTCTTACAAGCCTCGTACCTCTTCTTGATTATTGCAAAACTAAAGAGAAGGCGGAGGAGGACTCTTTACACTTTTACAATACTTTTATACCCCAACACTTAAAGATTTTTTTATATTATGATTGCACTTTGTTACCCTTTCATGCAGAAAAGGGTGGGGTCTTTATAGGCTCCACTAACTTCAAAATTGGAGCCAAAAAGTGTCTCATCCCGAATTTTTGAGGTACTAGCGGAACCATTGCCCAATCTGGCGGTACTACCGCTTGATAAAGCTGACATTGGGCGATACCACTACCTAGTTTGGCAGAACTATCGCATGACAGAGCCTCGAAGATTGGGCTTTAGCGGTACCATCGCCCAGTCTGGTGGTACTACTGTTTGACAGAGCTGACACTTAGTGATACCACTATCCAGTCTGGCAATACTACCGCATGACAAAGCCTCGAAGACTGGGCTCTAGCGGTACCACCGCTTGACAGTAATAACTGTCGGTGGTACCATCACTCAGTCTAGGTGGTACCACCACCCAAACCATATGGGAGACCACTCCCAAGGCGACTCCACGACCCTAGTCTGATGGTGCCACCATCAGACAAGGTCTAACAATTTGGTTGGGTCTTGAATCCGGCCTAAACCAGTCCAATTACGAGCCTAGTTGGCCCTAAATAGGGTTAATGGGATTACCTCCCAAACTAATCATAATTATGTGCTAACTACGATTTTTAAGATATATACTAAATAAAATAAGCCCGTAAGTCTAGGTTTCTTTCGGCAAGCTTCTGACGAGCTTCCGACAATCTTACGATGGACTTCTGATGATCTCTCGATAATCTTCCAGGAGACTTCCGACAAGCTCCTAGACTTCACAATGATCTTCTTAGCGAATTCCGATGAGCTTCTTCTCGGTCAATTCCGATAGTATTTCCGACGAAACTTCGGACTTCCGATGAACTCTCAAACTCCCAATGAAATCTTGATCTTTACTCCAGCACTTCATTTTGCTTTATGCCTTGATCACCATTATAGTTAATTCTGTACACTTTTCTCAACGTATAGATTTGATCAAATAATTTACCAATTGATTTTATTATCAAAATTCGAGATTCAACAAACTTAACCGCTCTTTCTACTTAGCTCTTTGTTTTTGTGATGTCATGTTTTACAAGGGAGATAGCTTACACGATATTATAGTATTCGTCAGGTACCGTTCACGATAGTGGGTAGCGCCATGATGGCATACGCCCTGGAGTTGACAAGCAACATTTGGTGAGTGACTCAATATATTATTACGAGCTAGTACGCTACTTTAACGTATATTAACTCACTTTACGAATTTTTATGTTATATTTTTAAAAATATAAAAATTATTTTAAATATGAGTAAACTATAAAAATTTAAAAAATCATAACTAAAACTAATTAGATGGGCTAAAATAGAACTTAACGCTAGAAATATTCATTCTTTAATCCTAAGATTCGATATAAAAAAATCAGTTTTACAGGTAATTTACATATTTGGTTTTTTTTTTATACAACTTAGGTTATTGCTAAGAGTTACATTATAAAACTCATGCAAAATTACTTGTATTTTTGTTCCACGTGCTCGGTTCTTCGGACTTAAGCTTACATGTATCTCAAAATTATATATGACACGGTTCGACATCACTCAAAAAGTATATGCATCCCAGAAAAAATACTTGTAAAAACTTAAGCTTTAAAAAAAATATGTTATATTATGGCAAATAGGAAGGAATGAGAGTATTATTCGTTGCATAAAATACTCGAATATTGTAGTTCAAACATACCTTGGCATAAACGATTTAGGAAGGCAGCCATGATCTAACGAGCCATTATTGGTCAAATGAAACGAGGCGAAGATATTTAAAGAATTAAAGACCGCCTCGACCAACATCTCACTCTAATAGCATTTCATTTGTTCATTGTAATATTAGGTTATTTATATCGATCATTATTATATTTAAAGAATTATTGTTCAAAATTTTTATGATTATTTATATTGATCATTATGATCAATTATGAATATGATTGAATTATGATTACGGTTATCGATCAATAGATGAATTAAAAATTTAATTATGATAAGATTTTTTAGGATATAAATTTGATGAAAAGAACTTTTCTAATTATTTATTCTAAATCTTATGTTCTCACGATATTACCTCCTAAAAAATCAGTATCAATAATTGGATATATACGTGAATATATGATATTATTGAGAGACTATAGATTATTTTCTTATCTTCCCATAATTACGTAAATCAGAGAATAAGAGATTATAGATCTTTTTTCATCTTTTCTTTATCTTTAAATCTGTCGTCATAGTGGTCATGTGAAGAATAAAAAGAGAGAAGAAGAAGAGTCTAGTTCTCTTTGCAAATCGATATCACTGTAATTTTTGAATTCGATGATGATGTACTTGTAGATCAAATAAAAGTCCTTTAAGCAACATCAAAATATACGCATTATAAATTTAAATATATTTTTATTTGATTTTAAAATTTAATATTAAATTTTTTTATATAATAACAATATACTATGATTTTTATGCTTATAATAACACTGGAATAGCGTCAATTAAAAAAAATTAAACGTATTTTTCTAGCTAGACATTTTAGAGAAAGTGAGCACCAAACACATCAGCCAGAACAGTTCCTTTATGCATACCGCTTATCACTTTACACATGACATTAATTAGCATTTCATTTTGTTTTCTTTGGTTTCTGTTACGCGCAACGAGTTGCACAGTAGTCATTGATGTGCATGCAATATATGTATATATATAGGGGATTGCCAAGTCAAGTTGGATTTGGATGGGCCACTTGGCTTTATTGAGGTCTCGTTTGGTCTCGTAATGCTTCCTTTTGTGTGTGTTTGTACTGCAGTTTCGATGTCCTCAAGAGTCGGTTTCCATTTCGGAGTCCGGTCCAGTGTCAGCGTTGAACTTGGAATCGCAGTTGGCCGGAACCGGGTTCGGCCTCGCCACGAGAGTTAAAGAGTTCCGATCCAGTCTTCAACGTCCCTCCTCCTCCTCGTCGCTTCTATTCTCAAAGCGCCCCCGGGAAGATCCAGCCCCGATTCCATCTCCCCGGTACCGATCTCGATCTGCGATTCCGTGGAATCCATCTTATCTCTCTCTCTCTCGTCTCAGATCTCTGACATTCTACTCGGTTTTTCTGGGGAATTCGAGGTCGACTGCAGATCCAATTCTCTATCGGGTATGTTTTGTTTGATTCCTAGTTATTTTTAAGAAAAGATCGGTGCATATGAGATTTCTTCTTTTCTTTTGGTTTTCTCTTGTACAGTGGTTTAGTGTTTGATTTGGAGGATGCAGCACGTTCCGGCGACGATTGAGGAGCAGCTCCTTCGGAAGGCGATCAGGGAAGAGAGCCCATGGGAGAATCTGCCGAAGAGACTTCAAACAATGCTGATTTCAAAAGAAGAGTGGCACAAAAGGTGCCGTTCTATAAATCATTATTGTGTTTGTGCTAACTGGTTAGCTCGAGCATAGGCTAGTTATTTGCAATGAGCACAGGAAAATGTAACTTCACTGTCAAAATTTAGAAATAGAACCTGCAAATTGCTCTCTTTTCCCCAAACCAATAGTG